GAGTGATTAGTGGTGTCTGTTACGTGGCTCAAACGAAATCAAAAATGGCACATGTTTACGAAAATGCTGAACTTGTGGACATGATTCTTATTTACGCGGCATCACGGATTTGTGCGGATCGGTTTCCCAATCGAGTGCAACCAACCCCTCGTGCCTTTGTTAATGTAGTACAAAGGGCTCGTGAATCAGGTGACTTAAGACCTCACAGGGGAGTGCCATTGATGTTGGCGATTTTATAATGATTACCGGCCGCTTTACAAACGTAGCAAGAAATGGATTTCCATTAAATAAATGGTGCAAATCATACGTTGGAAAAATGTCATATGAAATCGATTTTGCTAAACCCAGCAGCCTCGTCTCACTGAATAACATTAGGTATTTACTCAGAGAAAATAAGTACTTTACACCATTCAACCAAAAATAACCCCCTCAGCAGACCAGGATATCTAGATCTTCAGAAAAAAAAGTACAATCGACTTGAGAGTAGATGGAGAGCAAAATTGTATTCTTCTCCTTCTAGTTCCATCTTCTGTCGAAGGTTGGAAACCATCATGACTATGCGGATTTTATAGACCGCCACTCTAAATAGCTCTTCACACCTGAATCCAAACCACTATGTCAGATTTTTTAGCCAGGATGTTTGTCTTCTTCCGACATTTCACTTTCCTCGTATTTTACCCAGTATAATAAGGTGTATCAATAAAGAAATTAAAATACCTCCAAAAAGCGACCTTGTGTGTTCAATTTGTTCAATTTGCTGCAACTTTCAATTGGTCAATTCCAATCTTATTTGGTTCTTGTGTCCACATAAGAAGACACATTTCACATCTAGCGTCAAATAAGTAACTTTCATCCAGAAGATTATCTCAGATCTGAAAAAGACCGTCTTATTTGGTATCTGGCAACTCTCCTGTCACTATTTACTGTTCAGTCTTTACCCTATGGGGTTGATGATAGGTCCCTCAATGCCCAAACATCGAAATTGTGTGTGTCCCCCGCAACCCGGGGGGCCTCTTTTGCTGCAAGCCCCAAGCCCGTTTAATACCCCATACGAGACGACCCTACATTATAGCATCCCACAAACCGGCGCGAAATAATCGCGGCGAAGTATTCGCAACGAAATTCAGAGCGAAATTCGCAATCTGTTTCGCCTGTTTAAGCATCCCACAAACCGGCGCGAAATATTCGCTTTGGCTGCGAAAATTTCGCGGCGATGAATTCGCGATCAGCTTAAAGCATCCCACAAACCGGCGCGAAATAATCGCGGCGAAGTATTCGCAACGAAATTCAGAGCGAAATTCGCAATCTGTTTCGCCTGTTTATTCATACCAAAGCGTCTTATTCGCTCCGCGAACGTGAAGGTTTCGACAGGTTGCGTACATTTTATTTTTGCCTTTTGCAATGAGCTCGTCTTCAGAAGAAGAGGAGGCACTTCTATTTCTTGCTTTAGAAGAGGAACAAAATGCACGGTAAGTTATGTTTATTTAACGCCATTTGATAGTTGGGTATGTATTAAGTTTAACAAAGTACATAAAACAAATATTTTCAATTTTGTTTAGGAAACGAAGGAAGTGGGTACATGATATTAACTTGGAACGAAATAAATTTGGGGAATACCATACCTTGATGCCACAACTTCGGCTGGATGAACAGCGCTTTTACGTATATTTTAGAATGACTCCAGAGTGTTTCGATGAAATATTGAACTTGGTGAAAGATGAAATACGAAAATCTGACACAAATTATCGTGAAGCTATTTCGCCAGAAGAACGACTTGCTATTACACTCAGGTAAAAAAATTATATGTATTAAAATTAGTAGGCTTATCGAATACGAAAACTTCAGGGATCGTGAAATAAATATTTTATTGTAATAATTGGACTACATGTTGCCACTAGGATTAAATGTTGCTCAATAATTCGAGGCAGAATTTGCCTCCTCTGTTGGGTATATTATTGGAGTAAACCCAGTGCCGCTTGGGGAGGACGACATACTGCTATCATACATACTTGCAGAATTCTGGGTAGACGCTGAAGACATTTCTTCAATATGTTCAAATTCTTCGTGCGCTATTAATTCGGCTATTTTTAGTTTTATTCGGGCTTGACGCTTTATGGGAAGTGTTTTCACAGTCTGTGCTTGTGCCAAGAAAAGTGAATAAATGGCCTCGTTCTCTTTTTTAGGTTTTTTACCTTCAAAATAATGTACAGACAAAGATGGTGGTTCATAGCGTTTTCTGCTCGTTTTATATTTTGGTGTAGTTGCAGTCTGCGGAAAGGTGTGCCCTGGAGTAGTCACTGCTGTAGTGTTCAATGAAGAAGGTGGTGCTGTCTGTGTTGCCGAGGCGTTCTGTGCATCTTCTGCATCTACATCAGCATTTTCATCTTCTCCATGGCCGCGGTCTTCCAAATTTTCAGTTTCTACATTTCCAGCCCTTTCTGATATATATTTCAGTTAAATTAGGCAGTCTCATAATGTATGACGTCAATATCTTTCACATTAGACGACGTTTTGGCAAATGCCAAAAAAGGACGGAAAAAGTCCATGTAGTCAGCCCACTGACATTTTTTTATGTTGCCCACTGCTTGGCCGGTCCTTGGTTTGGTAGATTTTATATATTTTGCAAATGTGTCTCTGATATTCTTCCAGCTTTTTTTACTTCATCACCTAAAAACGATTTTTTTTATAGATTCCTTGCCACTGGTGACACCTTCTATACCATTGGGCATAGCTTTCGAGTTGGCTTTACAACAGTAAGTGCAATCGTAACCGAAGTCTGTGAAGCGATATGCAGACATATGGAGCATATATACGAGTATTTACCAGAACCAACAGAGAATATATGGAAAAAATGTGCTGAAGAATTTGAAAATAGATTGGGATTTCCCAATTGCATTGGCAGCGAGGACGGTAAATATGTAACAATCAAGAGACCTAACAACAGTGGCTCCAATTACTGGTGCTATTTACATAAATATTCAATAGTACTTATGGCCATTGTTGGCCCGGACTATAAATTTATATGTGTTGATATTGGTGGTTTCGGAAAAAATAGTGATGGGTGTATTTTCGAAACCTCAAACATGGGAAAACGATTTGAACAAAATTTAATGAGTGTCCCTGCACCTAGATTTCTCCCTGGGCAAAATGAAATCTGCTCGTACGTCTTAATTGGTGATGAAGCATTTGCTTTAAAACCATACCTTATGAGACCATTTCCTTATAAGGAGACTTTAACAGACATCAGAAAAGAGGAATACAATGTAAGACTTTGTGGAGCTAGAAGGGTCGTGGAAAATGCGTTTGGTATTTTGTCTCAAAAATGGCGAATATTTTACAGGCCATTAGAAACTAAAGTAGATACTACTATTCTAATTGTACGTACGGCATGTGTTTAACACAATTTTTTGCGAAGTAAAAGTGGCGATGACAAATATTTTCAATTCTTAGATCCCCCAGAACCCGTGCTTGGAGCTTTTACTGATATAGCAAATGATCCTCGGCGGGCAGCAAGGCTAGCATTTTCTACTCGTGACAAATTCGTAAATTATTTTAATTCTGATATGCCTATGCCCAATATATAGAATGTTCGTTTTCACATTTGTGTAGACTGTAAATTATTTAACAAGTTAATAAAAAATATTAGGTACATACCATTTGTATTTAATTCTTTTCCTATTTCCATCCAAATCTTGTCTTTCTTTCTCACATTCCTGTATTCATCGTTCGACAAATCATACAAACAAGGATACTTTGTCACTATTTCTATCAATAATTCCGTTTTTGCCATTGCGAATTTTTGAAGAACGGCGTCAAAAACGCAGTCAAAGGCGAACTGAAATACGCCGCGATAAAAACGCTGGAACAATCGCATTCGCTTCGCACAAGCCTGAGCCTGTCCGTAAACCGCCGCGTTTTAATCTGATCGCGAATTCATCGCCGCGAAATTTTCGCAGCCAAAGCGAATATTTCGCGCCGGTTTGTGGGATGCTTAAAACGCGGCGGTTTACGGACAGGCTCAGACTTGTGCGAAGCGAATGCGATTGTTCCAGCGTTTTTATCGCGGCGTATTTCAGTTCGCCTTTGACCGCGTTTTTGACGCCGTTCTTCAAAAATTCGCAATGGCAAAAACGGAATTATTGATAGAAATAGTGAAAAAGTATCCTTGTTTGTATGATTTGTCGAACGATGAATACAGGAATGTGAGAAAGAAAGACAAGATTTGGATGGAAATAGGAAAAGAATTAAATACAAGTGGTATGTACCTAATATTTTTTATTAACTTGTTAAATAATTTACAGTCTACACAAATGTGAAAACGAACATTCTATATATTGGGCATAGGCATATCAGAATTAAAATAATTTACGAATTTGTCACGAGTAGAAAATGCTAGCATTGCTGCCCGCCGAGGATCATTTGCTATATCAGTAAAAGCTCCAAGCACGGGTTCTGGGGGATCTAAGAATTGAAAATATTTGTCATCGCCACTTTTACTTCGTAAAAAATTGTGTAAAACACATGCCGTACGTACAATTAGAATAGTAGTATCTACTTTAGTTTCTAATGGCCTGTAAAATATTCGCCATTTTTGAGACAAAATATCAAACGCATATTCCACGACCCTTCTAGCTCGACAAGGTCTTACATTGTATTTCTCTTTTCTGACGTCTGTTAAAGTCTGCTTATAAGGAAATGGTCTCATAAGGCATGGTTTTAAAGCAAATGCTTCATCACCAATTAAGACGCACGAGCAGATTTCATTTTGCCCAGGGAGAAATCTAGGTGCAGGGACACACAAATTTTGTTCAAATCGTTTTCCCATGTTTGAGGTTTCGAAAATACCCCCATCACTATTTTTTCCGAAACCACCAATATCAACACATATAAATGTATAGTCCGGGCCAACAATGGCCATAAGTACTATTGAATATTTATGTAAATAGCACCAGTAATTGGAGCCACTGTTGTTAGGTCTCTTGATTGTTACATGTTTACCGTCCACGCTGCCAATGCAATTGGGAAATCCCCATCTATTTTCAAATTCTTCAGCACATTTTTTTCCTTTTATTCTCTGTTGGTTCTGGTAAATATATATGCTCCATATGTCTGCATATCGCTTCACAGACTTCGGTTACGATTGCACTCACTGTTGTAAAGCCAACTCGAAAGCTATGCCCAATGGTATAGAAGGTGTCACCAGTGGCAAGGAATCTATAAAAAAAATTGTTTTTAGGTGATGAAGTAAAAAAAAGGTGGAAGAATATCAGAGACACATTTGCAAAATATATAAAATCTACCAAACCAAAGACCGGCCAAGCAGTGGGCAACATAAAGAAATGGCAGTGGGCTGACTACATTCCGTCCTTTTTTGGCATTTGCCAAAACGTCGTCTAATGTGAAAGATATTGACGTCATACATTATGAGACTGCCGAATTTAACTCAAATATATATCAGGAAAGGGCTGGAAATGTAGAAACCGAAAATTTGGAAGACCCATGAGAAGATGAAAATGCTGATGTAGATGCAGAAGATGCACAGAACGCTTCGGCAACACAGACAGCACCACCTTCTTCATTGAACACTACAGCAGTGACTACTCCAGGGCACACCTTTCCGCAGACTGCAACTACACCAAAATATAAAACGAGCAGAAAACGCTATGAACCACCATCTTCGTCTGTACAACAGCTCATTGATTATTTTGAAGGTAAAAACCTAAAAAAGAGAACGAGGTCATTGATTCACTTTTCTTGGCACATGCACAGACTGTGAAAACACTTCCCTTAAAGCGTCAAGCCCGAATAAAACTAAAAATAGCCTAATTAATAGCGCACGAAGAATTTGAACATACTGAAGAAATGTCTTCAGCGTCTACCCAGAATTCTGCAAGTATGTATGATAGTAGTATGTCGTCCTTCCCAAGCGGCACTGGGCTTACTCCAATAATATACCCAACAGAGGAGGCAAATTCTGCCTCGAATTATTTAGCAACATTTAATCCTAGTGGCAACATGTAGTCCAATTATTACAATAAAATATTTATTTCACGATCCCTGAAGTTTTCGTATTCGATAAGCCTACTAATTTTAATACATATAATTTTTTTACCTGAGTGTAATAGCAAGTCGTTCTTCTGGCGAAATAGCTTCACGATAATTTGTGTCAGATTTTCGTATTTCATCTTTCACCAAGTTCAATATTTCATCAAGGTATGGTATTCCCCAAATTTATTTCGTCCCAAGTTAATATCATGTACCCACTTCCTTCGTTTCCTAAACAAAATTGAAAATATTTGTTTTATGTACTTCGTTAAACTTAATACATACCCAACTATCAAATGGCGTTAAATAAACATAACTTACCGTGCATTTTGTTCCTCTTCTAAAGCAAGAAATAGAAGTGCCTCCTCTTCTTCTGAAGACGAGCTCATTGCAAAAGGCAAAAATAAAATGTACGCAACCTGTCGAAACCTTCACGTTCGCGGAGCGAATAAGACGCTTTGGTATGAATAAACAGGCGAAACAGATTGCGAATTTCGCTCTGAATTTCGTTGCGAATACTTCGCCGCGATTATTTCGCGCCGGTTTGTGGGATGCTTTATTCATACCAAAGCGTCTTATTCGCTCCGCGAACGTGAAGGTTTCGACAGGTTGCGTACATTTTATTTTTGCCTTTTGCAATGAGCTCGTCTTCAGAAGAAGAGGAGGCACTTCTATTTCTTGCTTTAGAAGAGGAACAAAATGCACGGTAAGTTATGTTTATTTAATGCCATTTGATAGTTGGGTATGTATTAAGTTTAACGAAGTACATAAAACAAATATTTTCAATTTTGTTTAGGAAACGAAGGAAGTGGGTACATGATATTAACTTGGAACGAAATAAACTTGGGGAATACCATACCTTGATGCCTTCGGCTGGATGAACAGCGCTTTTACGTATATTTTAGAATGACTCCAGAGTGTTTCGATGAAATATTGAACTTGGTGAAAGATGAAATACGAAAATCTGACACAAATTATCGTGAAGCTATTTCGCCAGAAGAACGACTTGCTATAACACTCAGGTAAAAAAATTATATGTATTAAAATTAGTAGGCTTATCGAATACGAAAACTTCAGGGATCGTGAAATAAATATTTTATTGTAATAATTGGACTACATGTTGCCACTAGGATTAAATGTTGCTAAATAATTCGAGGCAAAATTTGCCTCCTCTGTTGGGTATATTATTGGAGTAAACCCAGTGCCGCTTGGGAAGGACGACATACTACTATCATACATACTTGCAGAATTCTGGGTAGACGCTGAAGACATTTCTTCAATATGTTCAAATTCTTCGTGCGCTATTAATTCGGCTATTTTTAGTTTTATTCGGGCTTGACGCTTTAAGGGAAGTGTTTTCACAGTCTGTGCATGTGCCAAGAAAACTGAATCAATGGCCTCGTTCCCTTTTTTAGGTTTTTTACCTTCAAAATAATTAATGAGCTGTTGTACAGACGAAGATGGTGGTTCATAGCGTTTTCTACTCGTTTTATATTTTGGTGTAGTTGCAGTCTGCGGAAAGGTGTGCCCTGGACTGCTATAGTGTTCAATGAAGAAGGTGGTGCTGTCTGTGTTGCCGAGGCGTTCGGTGCATCTTCTGCATCTACATCAGCATTTTCATCTTCTCCATGGCCGCGGTCTTCCAAATTTTCGGTTTCTACATTTCCAGCCCTTTCCTGATATATATTTGAGTTAAATTCGGCAGTCTCATAATATATGACGTCAATATCTTTCACATTAGACGACGTTTTGGCAAATGCCACAAAAGGACGGAAAAATTCCATGTAGTCAGCCCACTGCTGGGCCGGTCTTTGGTTTGGTAGATTTTATATATTTTGCAAATGTGTCTCTGATATTCTTCCACCTTTTTTTTACTTCATCACCTTATAGATTCCTTGCCACTGGTGACACCTTCTTTACCATTGGGCATAGCTTTCAAGTTGGCTTTACAACAGTGAGTGCAATCGTAACCGAAGTCTGTGAAGCGATATGCAGACATATGGAGCATATATACGAGTATTTACCAGAACCAACAGAGAATATATGGAAAAAATGTGCTGAAGAATTTGAAAATAGATGGGGATTTCCCAATGCCATTGGCAGCGTGGACGGTAAACATGTAACAATCAAGAGACCTAACAACAGTGGCTCCAATTACTGGTGCTATTTACATAAATATTCAATAGTACTTATGTTAAAGTGGCGATGACAAATATTTTCAATTCTTAGATCCCCCAGAACCCGTGCTTGGAGCTTTTACTGATATTGCAAATGATCCTCGGCGGGCAGCAAGGCTAGCATTTTCTACTCGTGACAAATTCGTAAATTATTTTAATTCTGATATGCCTATGCCCAATATATAGAATGTTCGTTTTCACATTTGTGTAGACTGTAAATTATTTAACAAGTTAATAAAAAATATTAGGTACATACCACTTGTATTTAATTCTTTTCCTATTTCCATCCAAATCTTGTCTTTCTTTCTCACATTCCTGTATTCATCGTTCGACAAATCATACAAACAAGGATACTCTTTCACTATTTCTATCAATAATTCCGTTTTTGCCATTGCGAATTTTTGAAGAACGGCGTCAAAAACGCGGCTAAAGGCGAACTGAAATACGCCGCGATAAAAACGCTGGAACAATCGCATTCGCTTCGCACAAGTCTGAGCCTGTCCGTAAACCGCCGCCTTTTTAATCTGATCGCGAATTCATCGCCGCGAAATTTTCGCAGCCAAAGCGAATATTTCGCGCCGGTTTGTGGGATGCTTAAATCAGGAACCACGTTTTTTTTTGAAATTCAGAAAATGATCATCATGATACAACTTACACCTTTTTTTGAAAAATCAATGCGTTTGTCTTGTTCAGGCCCTTATTCTTCATACCCACATTCTTTGTTTATATCTCATAAAATAAATGAGCTGTTATGCAACGATAGTTTTTTACGCTTTTTGACAGTTACATCACAATGCCATACGAAATAGGCAAACAGACTGACTAATCAGATCATGTGCTTAGCTACCCCAAAGGAAATTGCAAATTACACAAGTCGATCCGTAACGCAGCTGCTACTCGCTCTTGCACCCACACATGAATTGAATGATAGAGGACTGTCATTTTCACTCCCTTTATGAAAATACTTCTAATAAAGACTGTTGACATTGTAGTTATACATATATTTAGGTAATATTGTACAACCAAAAAATATGCGTATAGTTCAAGGTATTAGAATTACGAATAAGGAATAGCCGTGGAAATGGTTTACTATGTATTAGGGCGTGCTATCCAAAATGTATTACCCAAATCTACCAGAGCCTGACCCTTGTAATACTCTAGCCACATGAGATAATGTAAACAAAGCAGATACGTAAACTATTATCGTTAGTATTTATTACCTCATCATAGTCGGAGCTGTCGATAACAATAGTTATTTATTATACAAGGGAAGAAAGTACTAGCTTTTAGGGAGACATTTTAGAGAGACAAAAAACCGAAAACTAAAGTCTGATATTTTTCCCGTGTATAATACACACTTTTTTTTTTCTGTGACGGGAAAAACGACATTTAATATTGAAAAATTATATTATTACAATATTTAACTCAGAAAACTATTGATGTGAAATTTAAAATTTTAAATTAGTAGGCTATGTTATAGCGACAATTAGGCCTGCGTTGCTGAGGAAACTTTTAAAGTAATCAAATAGTGGTTGTATATAAGTTATTTTTAATACTATAAAGTTAACAATGTCTGATTCTGAGTTTTCTTAGACTTCACCGGAATTAGTAGAAGTAGCCAAAGTAGCGTCACAAAAATTATTGCCAGCTAAATCGTTTATACAATATCCGGGAAAAAAGTACTCATTTTTTTTACCGAAGAAAAAAGTAATTTCATAAAAAGTGACATTTTGTTATCTGTCAACAGAGATAAAATGACAAACTTTTTTCCCGTCACAGAAAAAATACTATAATCAAATCCAAGCGAATAACCAAAATTTCTGTGTTATGTACCGCGCTCATAGTATGGTTTAAGATGACACATGAGTTGATGACGTCAGTTACCCGAATCGCTTGATAGCGTTGGTTTTTACCGCGGTTTTGTTGCACCTTGTTTATTTTAGAAAAGAGCGTATATAATTTTCATTATTTTTATTATCACTTAATAGTCGGTGCTTTTTCGTCTACAGCAGTGTTATGGAGAGTTTAAAGAAGAAACATTTCATAATATTAATGGGAGAAATATTTTTTCCGGAAGATATTGTTCAGTTGTTAAATCTCTTGAGAAAATCTCTAATTTTTAAGTAAGTTTGTCGTGAAAATAAACGTATAACGCCCAAAATTTTAATGGTGGAACCATGGCTTTGTAGCTATGATAACTTTCAATTTTCTTGACTTTCCCGCATGTCAAAGAAAACATTTATTGATTTAGCAGAAATGATTGGAAAAAGCGTTGAAAAAAGATATTAGCAAAACCGTATACATTATTCAGTGAGTTTATATGGCCATATTTTAATATTCTTGACTATACAGGATACCTTGCTAAGCATAGGAACTAGATTTAAAGTGTCCCCAACAACAGTAATGAGTATAACTAATAAGGTGCGCTACTTCATGCTACTACTGAAGTCAGCCTGTATGAGGTTCCCCAAAAATGAAGCTGAAGTACAACAAAAATATCGAATACCCGTCAAAATTCCAACTTGTCACATTCCAAACAATAGCCAGATATATAAGACTACTTCGGAGTTGGGTAAATACGACAATTTTACGGTGATAACTATGATATATATACGTAATAGCTGATTTATGACGTCACGTATCTTATAACCAAACTGATAACCACACTCGCCTGAACGGATCGGTAAATACCAATCCAAAATGGTAAATACCATTTTCATTTGTTTATTCGCTTGAATTTGATATATATTTTATTTCAAAATTCAACTTGGGTAAACAAAGTCACATTTCCATGACAAGCAAGTTGTCATACTAAAAGTGAGATGCATAAATGTGAAAGAGTGATACGTTGACGAGAAAATCTTTATGCCGGTGAGGCAAAACTATACCTAATCAAATTAAAACGAATAACCAAAATGTTTGTGTTATGTACCGCGGTTTTGTTGCAAGTTGATTATTTTAGAAAA